TTTATTCCAACATTAATTTGCTCATTTTCAGTTCTAATGAAAATGAAAACTCTTTATTTAGCGTCTCATCGTGCTAATGCTAGCTGGTTTGTTTCATGCAGTTTATAGTTTCGTTTTGGTGGTTTATAAAGGTGGTTTTTGGTGGTTTATTCCATTAGGATCAGAGCAGCCGATCAGAAACGCTGATCCGTCTGATCTTCCAGAACCAAATCACATTATTAAGACATTTTATCGCCTGTAGTGATGAACTTTACCGAGTCCAGAAGGGCAGGACTGCTTTAAAAACATCTTTGAATGGTCCTAGTTTCTGATCAACCACAGCAGGAAGGAAAGTTTGTTTTTTTTAGGGTTCAGGACATTGAATGACTTATGCTATGACTTAAAGTTGTTGAAACAAACATTGTCCCTCGGGGGGCACCGTCCTCCTGCCGTAGAAACAGCTCTGCTTCCCATCCTCAGGCAGGGCATCGGGCTTCGACAGCGTCCTGCCTTCCGGCCCGGACATCGCACAGTTCAAGCAGGGAGTGAAAACAGTGGCAGGAAAGATGGCCGTCCTCGCTAACGGCGTGATGAACACCATCCAGGTGAGTTCCTGTTAGCTCCTCGCTAACATCCTGCTCGGTTGGTTTTCTCCGTCTAACAGAGACCTTGTGATGTTTTCAAGGATCGCTACGGATCGTACTGAGCGCCGGCGGCCGATCAGAGGGAAAACGTAATGCCTCCCGACTGACCTGTGCATTTGGACAGAGGCGGGGCGGCGGGGGAGCGTTTGCATGGAGAAGACGGCGTCCCTGCTGCCCGTCTTCCACTAGGACAGTATTCCCTTCCCCCATTAGCAGAATCTTGAGTTTTATTTTCATAAACCATCAGAAAATAAGAAATCTTTTCTAAAACGGCCGTTTCTGTCCAACCTGCTGGTCTTAGAGTTTCAACATGATGTCTTTATTTTTCTTAATTCAGAAATCTATGTGATTTTGATTGAGAACATTTAAAGTATTTGTTTTATTGTGCGATTTAAGAACAAGCTGCTGTGTTTTGCTTCAGTTCAGGAATCCATCGTGTTTTAAAGCTGCTGACTTCTAGTGAAGTTTGGCTGTTTTTTCTTCTACATGAAGCACTGATTTCAGAGCCATCCTGAGCTGATTGCGCAGCAGATTCTTACCTCTGCTCCCATAAAAACGGTTCAGCTAGGAGCTCAGACCTGAGTGCCGCCTCCAGCTCCAGGATCTGACTATGCATCCTCACTTACACAGGGTTTCCTGTTCGAACCTCAGGTCTGCTGCAGCTCGCCTCTGATCTAAAATTCTGGGATTGTTTTCAGGAAATGCATCTTTGGCTTCAGAAACTACGGGCTTCCTGAAGCTCGTCCTAAATGTTTGGAGCAGACCTGACGTTCAGCAGATGTTTATTATTTCCTTTATGTTCTGACCCAACAGTGTCCAATCACATGAAAGGATCAAACTATTTATTTGTAGGCTACAAAGAACCATATCCAGTATGTCAATAAAGATGGAAAGCCTTCAGTTTCTCTCATCTTTACGCTTTCAGTCAACTTTTATTTCTGCAGGAGAAATAATAATCTAAAACTGGGAGTTTTCTCTGATTGGAGGAAAAATCAACAGTTGTGGGAAAGTTCAGCGTCTTTGACCTGCAGGGAAGGATCTTGGCTCACTCCACAAATGATGGAAGCCTGTCGGCGGGGAGTAATTTACAGGCTGGAGGAATGGAGACGCTCCGCATGCCTGACCTCCGCAGACAGACCGGTCCTCCGGGTTGGTCAAACCGGATCAGAACAATAACATTTCAGCTCTGTTTCCCAGAACTGACGGGAATGTTGGTCCATATTCCAGGTGGAGCTGGAATCCATGAAGGTTTATCCCCAGTTGTAGAAGTAGATCTTCTGCCAGGTGGGGAGGTACTCCATCAGAGGACCTGCAAACAGAAGCTTCAGCTTAGATTCAGGGTCCGACAGTTTCTGTTTGAGGAGAACCATTCACAATAAATTAGATTTTTAGCTTCATTTTGAGTCGGAGCTTAAATCTCAGCCTGCCGTACTTACGCGCCACAAGTCCAACTCCTGGGACGTGATCAGCCAGAAGTCTGAGCAGGAAAATGATCTTTTCCCTGCAGACAACAAGGAATATGTTAACCGTCTTTACTGGGAGAACGGAGCCTCTGTGGAGCTCAGCGTGTCTGCTGCTCTGATGCATCATCAGTTTGCTGAAAGCCTTCTCAAATCGTTTCCGCCTGGTGGGAAAACCCGATCCAGTGTAGGAGCCGTCTCTGAGCCTTGGCATACAGAACGTCTCTAACCGCAAATGGTCGAATAGGACTGTAGATCTAGTCCAAGTAGACTCTTACAGAAGCAGAGGATGATAAGGATTGTAAATCTGAGGGTTTGATGACCTTCCTAAGTTAATGAACATTAAAGTTCAGAGTCATAACCAAACCTCCCCAGAGGAATTGGACCCAAAGGAAGGCGCTATGCTCTTTCCTGGTGAGGAGATGGTTTGGTTCTCCAGGTGAAACTCTGTACGGTTCATTTTAATAGAAATCCGTTAATTTCCTTTGAGTTTCAGAACCATCAAATCTGCTGCTTCCAATAAAACTGGAGCAGAAGGAAACATTTCCAGTCTTAACAGACCAGTGAACGGCATAATCTTAGAGCACTGTCTACGTTACAGAGACGACAAATACTAAAGGTCGCTTCATGTCAACCCCAAGATTTTAAATGACCATATATGGAAAAAGCTAAAGTAGGATTTCTTTGGTAAAGACGTGTTTAAACCTGCTTCTAGGCTCATTTTTAACGTAGCCTCGTGGAGGGAGGGAGACGTCTATGATCAGGATGTAATCTGTTTATCTTACTCTGAGAATGTGTCGTAGAACGGGGAGCGCAGCAGATAGTAGCACAGCAGGAAGGCTCGCCTCTTCATCTCAGCTCTCTCCCACCGGTTTTCAAACTTGGCGTCTCTGAGGATGGCGAAGCTGCAGGAAACAACAGAAATGAGTTAAATGTTTCCACACCCACTCATGACGTGCAAGAAAATCTGTAGTGAGAATGATGGAGCTCATGAAAAACACTTGATGGTAATTAGGTGGAGGTTTTTTTCTACTTTGTTGCAGCTGAAACCATGTTTCTGTTTTCTGTGGAATTTTAATCTGATTCAAATTAAATTAAATCTGCAGATAATAAAATTTCATGAAAGAATCGCTAAAAAATCTGCAATCATAAGCCTTAATAGGAACATACATTAATAGAAAACATCCAGGAAGTAAAAGAGCCCTGAACGTTCCAGCATCATGGGAAACATGCAAACTTAAATCTGAAAAACGTCGTTATAGGACAAGGTTTTTTTTTTGTTTTTTTTTTACCTCGACAGCTCCAGGGCAGCTGAGACGAGCCACGGCTTCCACGACCGCTTCCCACAAACTCCCAGACACACAACTGTGTTAGGAAAGATGGAGTAAAGGAAAACTGCTGCTCAGTGAGGCAGGAGCAGCTGTTTCCCTGCTGAAATATGCAGGTGGAAAATTTGGTGGAAGGACGATCCAACAGGACATTAGATCTTTGAGGAGCAGTTTTTATCTCACGGCTGATTAATCCCACACTCAGATCCTCCTTTACTTCTGATCCTCATAGTTTTAGCCTAAATTTTCAGCTTAAACATAAAAGCTTTGATTCATCCAAAGCTGCAGATTTTAAAACCTGAGCCGGTTAGTCCTCTTTTCCAAATATATACCCACTGGAGCTTCAGGAAAACAGCTTTCCCTCTCTGGCTGTGAAAGAGAAAAGCTCCCTCTAGTGGTTGAAACTAGCGTTACCATTTCAAACTGGATCAGACTCTGTTCTGATTGGAGACCAGCTGGTTAAAGGATACGGTGCACCAGAGGTCGGCTGATGTAAACTGACTCGGCGAGCGTCTCTTGGAAGCTCAGATCTGTCGGCCTGCTGTTGATCTTCTCCTGCATGCTGCTCCTCTTCCTCGGAGCTCCCCACAGCCGGCTCTGCAGGGACGGAGCTGCAGCAGCACAGGGATGAAGGATGTTATTCTCCTGTTAGCATTTCTATGCAACTTAAAGGTGGATCCCTATGAGAAACAACAAGCTGCCTGGTCACGATGAGAAACGCTGGTTGTTATGGTGATTCCCGCCTCACGTAAACACATCCGTCTGTCTCAAAGACGGCAGGCCCCTTGGATCCTGCTGGTTCCACTGATCCATTTAGACGTTTGGTTGAACACAACGTTCAGGCAATGCACTCTGGGTTCAGATCGGACAGAAACCTGCAGCTCCTCCAGTGGCTGGAGATAAAACTGACTTTAGATCTAAACCGTTCTGAACATTCCACAGGATCAGAACCAAAACGCAACCAAGAAAACAAATTAATATACAACCTGGGTCAGCTAAGGCCTCTTGATTCCTGGATGATGGTTCTGATGGATCAGACGGCCGAGAAAAGGAGGTCCAAACAGGACCGGCTTTTTATTCTAGTTTTTGCTCAAATCCTATGTTAGTCAGGGGGGATTTTTTTATAAATATTGTAAAAAAGAAATATGTCTTTAAAAGCAGGGCGAGAGGATGGATGGATAGAAAATAGAAGTAAACAGAATCGTGGACAAACAACTGATATCTTTTCTCCTTGCTGCTGTATTTTATTATATTAAGCTTTTATTAAACCAGAAAAGCACGCTGTGAGATAAAACATACATTTTTATGGGAGATATGACAAAAAATTAATAAAAAAGAAAAATGCATGTAAAAAAATTTTCATAAACGGGCTCTGTAAGAAAGAATTGAAAGAAGAAACAGTTTCCATGAAGTAAATAAGACGTAAATCCAGCAGCGGTGGAAAAAGCACTCAGCTGTAATACTTGAGTAAAAGTATTACCGTAATACTTTTAACTACAAGTAAAATTACTCAATAATCTACTCAAGTATTGAAGTACTCACTTTTAAAATATTTAAGTATTCAAAAATACTAAATAAAATGTTCTATCAGCACATTTCTGTATATTTTTCCAGAGTAATTTTAAAGAACTTGTAACTTTCAGGAACCACCTGATGTATTGATACATAGAACTACCTGCTATAGAATCTACAACACCTGGAAAGAACTTCAGCATGAAAAGGCCACAAAAAGAATGAAAAAGATTTCTTATTCAAAAACAAACCAAAAAGAAAACATAAGTCTTAATTATCCTCTTTCTTTCACTATGGAATGGTGGTTTAATGTTCTAATCTATTAGAAACTTAGAAACTAGAACTCTGATCTGAGACTCATCCTACTGAACAATTTAGCCACACAGAACCCCCCCTCTAGAAAAAGACTCAAGTAAATTAAAGATACAGTGAACCCTTGTTTTTCGACTATTGTTGAAAACTTGTTAAGGCTTACATCCCTCTTCCTCAATGATTGCTTTAAATTTATTTTTGGGGAACACTTCTTCTCCAGCGGTATTTACAGAGGCTCTCATAGAAACATTTTTAAGTCCAAAGCATTTCTTATATTTTTCAAACCAGTTATTGTTGGCATTAAATGTGCTTATTACTGCGTAAACAGCACACGTTGACAGCCGGTATCTGCATCCTCCTCCCTGTCATTTACAGTGATGGGAGTAACGGCGTTGAAAGTTAACCTTTTTTAGTAAAGAGTAATCTAACTCATTACTCCTACTGTAACTATAACGCAGTTACCATTGCAGACACCCCGTTACTGCGCGTTACTCAGGTCGCACAATTAACCTTTTTTTTTTCATAATAGGACTCATGCGCGCCTTGTCATGAGGGGAGGATTAGAATGGCTGATGTATAGTGAGATTCCGTCTGTCAGTTGGGTAGGTGGGTGTTTCCGCTGGCGGGTGTTAACGTACAGCACACTCAGAGAGATGGAGAGTGAGGAGGACTCCAGCAGCAAAACAGCGTTTTCCAGATGGAAAAACCGGTGTTACGTCGAGCTGCGTTTCCCCATCCGATACAGTTTCCCCTGCATCTCCGCACAGCGCAGGCGGCTCGATTCACCGCGCATGCTCACTAAAGGCGCGCAACAGCCGCCCTGTACTCGCGCCACAGGAGAACTACGGAGAGCGTGAACGATCATTAGCCTATATGGAGAAAGGGAGAAATCGGGATGGATGGATGTTGCCGTATCTATAACAACCCAAACACACAGGATTTCAGAATTAGACATCCCCAGTTATTAATTTCAGACACTCACCAGATCTGAACGCCTTGATAAAAAACTTCACACCTATGAGTAGAGGTAATGCAGCCTGATGATATTTACACCGCATCAGATACCGTTCCCCCATGTAAGGCAGGGGAAACGCTATCTGACGGGGTTTACGTCATTTACGTTGAGTTGCAATAAATGCTAAACTCTCTGCAGGTTCTTGTCTTTGTCGTCCGCTCTATTCAGCTGGCTTTGGAAACACACAGCGAGAAGGTGGGGGCCGGGTGGTGAGGGTTACTTTTATTGTGGAGTAACTCAGTTCCTTTTTGAGAGAAGTAACTAGTAACTATAATTACTTTTTCAAAGTAACATGCCCAACACTGGTCATGTTGCCGTCAGTTCAATGCAGTGTTCCAGATTTTGTGCAGATAACGTTCATATCCAGCGTAATGTTCTTCATTAAGCCATAAAGCTAATGCAGTCTCCATCCTTTACCATGGTCTTCTTGCAGACAGTTGCAACCCTTTTTTCTTCTTTATTTAAACGTATTACTGCTGTTGTCCTTATGTTATTTTCCCTCTTCTTTATGGAACGAACTGAAGGTTCATTAATTCCATAATGGCGACATGCAGCCACACAGCTTCTACCCTCCTTTAGCACGTCCAGAAGTTTAACTTTTTCTGCGATAGTTAACATCGTCTTTTGTGCCTTTGTAGGTGCAGAACGTTTCATCAACATTATGGGTTTTGGAGAAACTTACATTTGGCAAGCTGTTTGATGTACATGTATAAAAAAATATTTAACCGTACTGGCTGTTTAGCCAATCAGAATGCAGAACAGGATGCACAGTGCCAATCTGTGAAGCAGAGAGGCCGTGAAAGGTGAACCGTGTTATAATGAGGGTTCACTGTGCACCAAAAAAATACTGTAATTAAGTAAATACCGTAAATCCTCTAATATAGGCCGGGGCCTTTATTTCACTGAGGTACATCTTGGTCCAGGCCATTATTGGAAGGAGGCCAGAATTAGAGGCAGGCCTCTATTTCTATTTGATCA